CAGGGCAGGAAAGAGGGGCAGATGGACTAGAGGCTCCCAGGGAAAACAGGAAGTGCTGTTGCACTGCGGGAATTGCAATTAATGTTACAAAACAAAACTGTGTAAATGGTTGACTGAAAAGCGAGTATGCTCTGTAAACTTTCACTTGAACCACAGTTTAAAAGAAAAAAATCAAAGCACCGTTACGGAGTCAAATGTTCAGCCTGGTCCCCACAGTGTGTGCTTGGAAACATTCCAGCCTGGTCTGCGCGGTTTCTCTGGGGCTTTTTCTGAGCTGTTGGCTGTGGTCATCGCAGTGCCCCCACCCGCTCCCAGGCCCAGTGACCTGGCTCATGGCTGCCCCACATGCCCTTGCGTTCGTTCCAGGGACTGACGTTATGGTGCGGTGCCTCAAGCTGCTGAAGGAGTTTAAACGGCGCTACGAAGACGACCAGGACGAGGATGACGACGAGGAGGTCTTCTCCAAGGCGGTGCCTCCGGTGGACATCGTGTTCGAGCGGGACATGCTCACGCAGACCTACGAGCTGAGTAGGTCCTGGGCTCACACCTGCCGCCGATGTGGCCTGCCTGGGCGCTGTGGTCGGGGAGGGTCTGACCCACCTCTCCAGGGAGGCAGGAGGGTGCCCTGGAGAGGGTTGACTGTGGAGCCTGGCTTCACTCCTGGAGAGAGGGTGCTCGGCCTCCGCTTCCCTCTCTGAAGTGGGGGTGTGCCCACGCTAGCACTTGACCAGGGCTACGTGAGGAGCAGGGTTTCAGCACTTGGAGGGGGGTGCCTGGCGCATCGCCAACGCTCAGAAAACTTGGCTCTTGGCGTTCGAATGTGAAGCTGCGAGAGCCACCTACCCCCTTTGCCCCTGCCACTCCTCACCTTGCAGCCTGTGTCCAACGGCAGTGGCCCAGTACTCCGTGTGCCTGGAACCTCAGCTCCAAGGAGTGGGGTGGCCACGGAGACCCATCCATGGCAGATAGGAAGCCACCCTCTTGCACGGAGGGCGGGGCCACCTCAGCCCTCCACGCCCCGCCTTGGCTTGTTGCCACCACAGTCCATCTCGTCACCTCAGCATTGAGTTTTTTGCGCGCCTGCTGTGTCCACCGAGACGTTCGCTGAACGTTCACTAAGCTGCTTCAGTGCTGTGCTCAGTTCATGTGCTTTCCTGGTGGGATTTCCCTCATGCCCCCCCAGCCAGGCCCCTTCCTAACGTCCCCAGGCCCGGGTGGCTTGCAATACAGGTGGTACCAGAGCCGACAAGTGACATCAGGCCAGTCAGCACACCTGAACCTGTTACAGGGCAGCCAATGCCTGGTGTTCATGATGTTCCTGAGGACCACCCATAGAGACAAGGACACGGAAAACACATACTGAAAACATTGTTCATTAAAAATGACCCCGTGCACTTTAAAAGGGTCGATTGCAGGTGTCTGAAAAACGTGTATGCGCATGAACTCATTTCCTGCTGCCGGACAGCGCGATGCTGCTAGAGTTTGATCTATCAGCAGGGAGTCAGTCGCCTGCCCATTAGGGGTTCGATGTGGAGAAGTTGGAGAGGAGGCAGACCAATAAGTAGCCCTTAGAACCCCTTTTCCAAGGTCCTTGCAGGAATGAGGTTAGGAAACAGTGCCCTGTTCTGCTGGTCCCTGTGCGCTGAAATGTCTGCTTTGAAAGGCGGGTTGGAGTGGGGGTGGCAGCTCCTTTGCCACAGCTGGGGTTCACGTGTTTTCTCTGGTGCAGTTGAGCGCAGAGGCACTAAAGGAATTTCCCAAGCTGAAATCCGAGTGGCCATGAATGTGGGGAAACTGGAAGCAAGAATGCTGTGTCGTCTTCTTCAGAGATTCAAGATCGTTAAGGTAATCGTCCTGGCACCCTGTCACGGTGCCGCTCGCGGGCCCGGCTAACCGCGGCACCGCTCACGCCCTGTGCTCTTGGTTTTACTTTTCGTGGAATGAGGTGTGTGTGTGAAGAGGACGTGGCAGCACCCAGAGCGCCTTTCTGCTCGAACCCCGCCTGCAGAGGGCCCTGGTACACGCCGTGCCATGGAAACGAGGCCAGGACCCAACTCCCGGCCCTCGAGTCCATGCCACCCTGTAGTGCTGAGCAGACCCGCCCCTGGGCTTCCGAGACCCTAACTCGGCTGGAGGAACAAGCCTCGTCTTTCTCCCGAGGCGAGGCTGGTAGCTTCAAACTGCTGACCTTGTGTTTAGCAGTCCAGTGAGGAAGCACTCCGCCACCAGGGCTTCTTTACGCCAAGGCTTTTCTTACAGGAGTTCTGCTCCGTCCCGCCCAGGGTCACTGTGAGTTGCAATGAGCTCAGCAGCCTTGAGCTTGGTTTGCTGACGACTTTGCACCATGCTGGGCACAGAGAAGATGGTGACGATTTCTCTCATGTGAAGGCCTGGGCTCAAAGATCACCAGAGCTGGTGACCACCATCTGTGGTGTCACACACCCCACTTGGGGTCCTTTTCCAGGGGCCGCCTTCTGTGCCAGGCACCGGGGTTCAGAAGACGTGTATTGGCCCTGGGTCTGAGGGTGCAGGCAAGGAGAGAGACACAAAGATGGCAGGGACAGACAGGACGCTCGCCACAGCCCTGGAATGCCTGTGTGGTCTAATGCCCTTGCTTGGCACATCTCATTTCCCCAGGGGTTCATGGAAGACGAAGGTCGCCAGCGGACCACCAAGTACATCTCCTGTGTTTTCGCCGAAGAGAGCGATCTCAGCCGGCAGTATGAGCGGGAGAAAGCGCGGGGGGAGCTCCTGACCACCGTGAGCTTGGCCACTGTGCAAGAGGAGTCCCTTCCGCCCGAGGGAGAAGACACCTTCCTCTCGGAGTCGGACAGCGAGGAGGAGCGCACCCGGAGCAGCAGAAGGAAGAGGAAAGGCAAAGGGTCGTCAGGGGACCG